TGGGTGGCTGAGTCGGTTAAGCCGCCGACTTCGGCTCAGGTCATGATCTCGCAGTCCGTGAGTTCAAGCCCCGCGTCGGGCTCTGTGCTGACGGCTCAGAGCCTGGAGCCTGTTTCAGATTCTTTGTCTCCCTCTGTCTGACCCTCCCCCGTTCATGCTCTGTCTCTCTCTGTCTCAAAAATAAATAAACGTTTAAAAAAAAAAAAAACCTGTTTTCTCAGGGCAAATTTAATTCTTAAAATATCTAGATATGCAAATTTCTCTAAAATTATATTTTAAACTATATCTGAAGAAGTTAATGTTTTAAAATTATACTTTGAATCATTTCTTTGGGAATAAAATCTTAGTCATAACTTCACCGGAAATGACCTATATGGGGTATTTGTGCTATCACTTTTTCCCATCTCATCCCATGGCAGACATCACCATCAATCATGGCTTCTTTCCTGTTAAGCCCTTATAGCTTCAAGTTCCCTTTTAGCCTCATATTCCAGGCAGCCACACTTAAGCCTCTAGGATTTCAGTTGAATATTTAAGATTCCCCAGAACTGGGGAGGAAGGAGGTGGAGGTAACTAAAGGCTGTTTCCTAGGTAATGAATTAGCTATGTACAAGTGAATCTTTGGCCAAGACCTGGAGAACAGTTGAAGACAATTTGATTGTTAAAAGGTGGGGGAAGTAGCATCTGAAGTGTTAATTTTTTTTAAGTAGAATTATTTTTTTAATGTTTATTTCTTTATTTTGTTTTTAACGTTTTAAATTTTATTTAAATCCAAGTTAGTTAACATATAATACAATAACGATTTCAGGAATAGAATTTAGTGATTCATTACTTACTTATAACTCCCGTGCTCATCCCAAGAAGTGCCCTCCATAATGCCCATCACCTGTTTAGCCTGTCCACCCACCCAACACTCCTACAGCATCCCTGTTTGTTCTCTGTATTCAAGAGTCTCTTATGGTTTGCCTCCCTCTCTATTTTTCCTTTCCTTTCTCTATGTTCATCTGTTTCTTAAATTCCACATATGATTCCATCATACATTTATTTTTCTCTGATTTCACTTGGCATAATTACACTCCAGTTCCATCCACATTGTTGCATGAGGTGTTAAGTATTAATGGTTTTCTTTTAAAGTACACAGGAAGAAACTTAGACCAGGAATCAGGAAATGTGGGTGTGGTTTCAGTGGTTTCAGCTCTGAGAGTGGTTCTGGTAAGGTCACACAAACCCTGTGGCTCTTAGTTGTTTCAGTTGAAACAAAATTGAACTAAATATTCAGTAGAGTCATAATTCTAAAGTTCTACAATTTTAATGATTTGTTTTAACGTTTATTTTTGGGACAAATAGAGACAGAGCATGAACGGGGAAGGGTCAGAAAGAGAGAGGGAGACACAGAATCTGAAACAGGCTCCAGGCTCTGAGCTGTCAGCACAGAGCCCGACGCGGGGCTCGAACTCACGGACCGCGAGATCATGACCTGAGCCGAAGTCGGCCACTTAACCGACTGAGCCACCCAGGCGCCCCTAAAGTTCTACAATTTTAAATGTAGGTTAAAGACAACATATCTATAGTCAAATCATACATTTAAGATTTAAGAATATTACTAAGGAACTAAAGTAAATTGAAAATACTCTGATTAGAATATGTAGAAATGGTTTAAAAACTGCCAAGTGTCATAAACTGTTGTGTAAATTCAAACCTGTGATAATGAGCAAATTAAATTTTATTTTAAAGGATAATGCTATACAACTTTATCTTCAACTTTGAATCAGGGACTTTTTTCAATTTAGGTTTAAATTTGGAAAGGACTCAAGGGCGCCTGGGTGGCTCAGTCAGTTAAGCGTCTGACTTCGGCTCAGGGCATGATCTCGCGGTTTGTGAATTCAAGCCCCACGTTGGGCTTTGTGCTGACAGCTCAGAGCCTGGAGCCTGCTTCAGATTCGGTGTCTCCCTCTCTCTCTGCCCCTCCCCTGCTCACGGTCTGTCTCTCTCTGTCTCAAAATAATAAATAAATGTTAAAACCTTTTTTTTTTTTTTTAATTTGGAAAGGACTCCAAAAGTCAACAAATTTGATCCTAATTGAGATGTGAAATCTTTTGTCTCTCTTAGCACTTTCTAGGCATCATGGCAACTTCATCTGAAGAAGTTTTGCTAATTGTAAAGAAGGTGCGTCAAAAGAAGCAAGATGGAGCTTTATACCTCATGGCAGAAAGGATTGCTTGGGCACCTGAAGGCAAAGATAGATTTACAATCAGCCATATGTATGCAGATATTAAATGTAAGTCAGCTATACTAAGGCTTGATGTAACATTTGCTAATAATTTTATAAGAAGATTGCTTATACGATCTTTGTGGATTTTTTTATTATAGTGTCCAAAAAACCAGCTGTATGGAAATAATGTTAAAGTGGGATCGCTGAACGTATGTTATTCTGTAACCCGCCTTTCCCACTTTATAATAATAAAAGTTTATATAGTTTTACACATGTGAATCTACATCATGTAAAAGTCTCCACACATCGCCACTTTTAAGAGTTGCATAATACTCCACTGAATGGATATAGAATCATAATTTAATCAGTTTCCTTGAAGGACAGCTAGGAAGTTTTCAGAATTCTTTTTATTGCAAACAGTGTTGCAGTATAGGTCTGTGTACTAATATCTTTGTGAGGTTGTATATGTGGGATACATCCCTGCAGTGGATTTACTGATTCAGATGGTTCATGCATTTAAAATGTTGGTTGCTGGGGCGCCTGGGTGGCGCAGTCGGTTGAGCGTCCGACTTCAGCCAGGTCACGATCTCGCGGTCCGTGAGTTCGAGCCCCGCGTCAGGCTCTGGGCTGATGGCTCGGAGCCTGGAGCCTGTTTCCGATTCTGTGTCTCCCTCTCTCTCTGCCCCTCCCCCGTTCATGCTCTGTCTCTCTCTGTCCCAAAAAAATAAATAAAAACGTTGAAAAAAAAATTTTTTTTAAAAAATAAAATGTTGGTTGATGCCAGATTGCCCTTTAACGAAATTGTATTGTTTAAGCAAGTTGTGTAGTTAATCTTTGGTTATGTGGCCATTGTCTGTTGAGAAGATAGACTCAATTTTTTATTGGATATAGATAGGAGAAATACAGAGCACAGTATCCTTAACAAATTGTGGTATCTGAACTGTGACCTTAATATGGATTCATTTATTTTCTTGGATATAAAATTCTTCTTCAAGATAAAATCTTATGTAGATTTCAAGGAATGTGATACCTCAAAAAACAAGACACTCTTCACCTTGCAGGTGCTAGATTTGTAAATGTCCTTTGTGTGTGAACAGTTGCCCTAAGGACTTACCTCAACTTTGCTACTGGAAATGACCAAGATCTTCATCCATTTTCACTGAAATAATTTAGAATTTTTACTTTCAAAAGGAAATACTGTTTGAAATTCATCATAATTAAGTACTGCCTAAGCTGTCTGGTCTTTTGTCCGCTATTCTGGTAATATTACCTCCTTTTAAAACTTTGTTTCTGTGGAAAAGTGACTCACCAAGTTCCTCATAGTACTCTTACAAACTAACATTTGTACCAGAAGAGACTCATAAATTAGGAACTTCCTCTGTTAGCATTTCTCTTCAACAGGAAGTTGGTCCTGTAGCTCTGTAAAACATGCACTCATTGTGATACCCACAACGTACAATAAAGAATATACCCTTCTTCTATTTCTTGACAATTCTGTTATTGGGAAGGAGAGCACATACTCAAATCTAGATCTGCACCAGATCAGTATTCATTTTAAGTTGAATATTTGAAATAAAGCCCATTTCTGAAAGAAGCCATTGAAAATTATCAGTAATAAATTACTAAGGTGAAAATCAGCAGTTAGATTAGCTAATTACAAAACTTCAGAAATAGACCTCTTAGAGGCAAGAGCCAAGCTAGAGCAAGGCTACAGCAGTCACTGAGAAAAGATGCATGAAAAGGAGTGATGGTTTGTTTTGGAGAAATGGAAAGCCACAATAGGCTGGCTGACAGCCTACATTGCCCCGTATTGCTGCTTTTGGTAGTTAGATATTTCATCTAGACTGTTGGTCTGGAAGCAGTATCTTGATTGAAAAAGTTTGTTTAGGGATTAGTAGGTGGTTTGGACCATGAGCTTTAGGCAGCATGTTCACACTGTCATGAGTCTCCCATTTCATGAGACAGAACCCCTCCATCCCTCTCCCTCTGTGGAAGACAAGGACTACTGTTGCCATGAGGCCCACTCTTTAAGAGTACAAGTTGTCTATAATGTGGGTGTATTTTGAGGTTCCCAACATCTATTTATTATGAAAATTTTCAAAGTTACAGAAAAATTTTAAGAATGGTACAATGCATACTATACAATATATCTGACTTACATGTGCATACACTCTGCTTTGTAATATTTCGCACTGATAAAATTTTAATAGTAAACATCCAGGACATTGTTACATCCCCAGTTGTCCCAGTAATGTTCTTTTGTAGTAATGATTTTTTTTTAAACCCTATCCAGTCTGGGTTCACATATGTAGTTGTAGTACCTTCAGTACTACACTTTATAGACTTGTCAAATATCATACATTCTGATTATGTCTGCTTATCCTCTCAAGGTTTTTTGAAAATTATTTTCATGCATACTTGTGTTTCTTATAAACTGAAAAGTTTACAGGCTTGATTATACTCAAGTTAAACACTTGCAGCAAGAACAACACATAGGTGGTGGCCTTTACTTACTATTCTATTCCCTGAGAAAGCCTGTAGTGTCAGGTTGTCCGACTCTGGATGAGATAAAGTTTGATCACTTGGTTGAAGTGATGACACCACATCTCTCAAATGTAAAATTATGTATTCTTGTTTGCAGTTAGTAAGACATGGGCTGTGATTTGGAGCTTTTTGAATTAGGACAAATCATTTTTATTTATGATAATGATGATTGGAGGTAGCTGTTCACGCTCAGGACTCCTAGTTGGCTATTTGGAGATTTTCCCCAGTTGAGTGGAAACAAAAGCCCTTTAATATCTGGCGATGGAAGCAGTGGGTGAGAAGTGCCACACAAAGAGGGTGCTGAAGAAGGAAGCAGAGTGTTAGCGGTGAATTTGTTAAACTATGCTCTGATTATATGGGATTATTTGAGAAGAGTTCATTTCTGCAAAAGCATTAAGACTGGAACAGGGCAGCTAAAGCCCAAAGGAATTCTGAATCTTCTTGGGAGGAGAAGTGGCGTATTGTAGGACGATTTCCACAGTGTGGGTGTCCTCGTCTAATTTGTCTCATGTTTCTTTTTAGGCCAGAAAATTAGTCCAGAAGGAAAAGCTAAAATTCAACTTCAGCTGGTGTTGCATGCAGGGGACACAACTAACTTCCATTTTTCCAATGAAAGCACAGCTGTGAAAGAGCGAGATGCAGTGAAAGACCTTCTTCAGCAGCTGCTGCCCAAATTCAAGAGGAAAGCAAATAAAGAACTGGAAGAGAAAAACAGGTGAAGGAGGAAAAGAATAACCTTTTGAAGGGACACTAGATTCTCTCCAGTCTCTTAGTAGAGTAACAGCTGTTATGTCTTAACCCTTGTGCTACATTAAATTAACTGCCTCAACTCTAATAATCGGGTGAGGAACAGAACTGAGATTCAGAGGTGCCAAGGTCCTTTAATTCCTTCTTCCAGTTCTCCGTCCCAGAGAAGACACTGAACTATTAGGAATGTGTTTGTGAATGAGAAACCTGAAAAATCACACTGTAAAAAAAGTTGAGAAAGCGTGTAAAGTAATGAGAATTTCTGATGAGGTGAATTACTCCATTGCCAGTATTTTCCAGGCCATCCATGCTTAAGTCTCCAAGTGCTTATCACCATGAAAAATTAGTGTCCAGAAAATCTCAAGCATACCTTTTCTCTTCCCCTTTCATCTTTATTTATAAAAGAGAATACAGTACAATACAAATACAGACATAGTGATCTTTGTATCACTGGGATATTGAGATGAATAACACCAATAACCCTCAGAGATTTTAGGCTTTGCTTCTAAAGACTTACTTCCATTTATCTTCATTTATTCCTCCAAAAGTTTTTTTTTTAGTTTGAATTATTAAGAGATGAACTAAATGACCTCTGCTGCTCCAAGTTGTGGGTCTCACTGTTTTGTGTTGTTAAAGTCTTTTTTTTTAAGTCTTTTTAAAGTGTTAACATAAATGGTGTTTTATTCTAGAAGTTCAATATATTCAATATATTCTATCACCAGAATGCTGCAAGAAGATCCTGTTTTGTTTCAGCTTTATAAAGACCTTGTTGTGAGTCAAGTGATCAGTGCTGAGGAATTCTGGGCCAATCGTTTAAATATAAATGCGACAGAGAGTTCTTCTACATCCAATCATAAGCAGGATGTTGGCATTTCTGCAGCATTTCTGGTATGTGACCCTTCTAGATTTCTGAAGGAAAAAAGAAAACTCTGATATATGTGTTAGCAATGCCATTTCTTTTGTAAAACTTAGCATTTCCTTAAAGCAAATCAATAGTTACTTTGGTATCCATTGTATTCTAAAGTATTTTAAAAATAGATGCAGTATTTTTTAAATGGATGCTTCTTGTGGCCCCTGGGTGGCTCAGTCGGTTAAGCGTCCGACTTTGGCTCAGCTCATGATCTCGCGGTTCAAGAGTTCCAGTCCTGTGTCAAGCTCTATGCTGACAGTTCAGAGCCTGGAGCCTGCTTTGCGTTCTGCATCTCCCTCCCTCTCTCTCTCTGCCCCTCTCCCACTCACACTCTGTCTCTCTCAAAAATGAATAAATGTTAAAAAAAAATTTTTTTTAAATAGATGCTTCTTCTTGCGAGTTAACTTTTTTTGGTTTTTGGACTTGACCCTAATATGCTGGAAATTAAGTGGAGTTTAATAAAAGAGAATCTTTTAGCAATTGGACTAATACTTGTTTCCCCAAATTCTTTTAAAGTTAGGGCTTTCTGATACTTTATTTTATGATTGCTATATATATAAATGCAGAGTTAAATGTGAAATGACCATGGTATGACAGAAAAACTAAGACTTGTAATGTGTATTTTAGTGAAAGATTGAGAATACCCTTCCTGTGGAATTAGAAAATGGGATTCATTTAGTCTATACTTTGGTGGACCCAAAGCAGTGTTTATGCATTTAACAAGAATTTGAGTACCAGTTATATGTTTAGCATCTTTCTGGGCACTTAGTAGTAAATTGAATGAACGAGGCCTTTCCTAAAGAAACCAGTCGGACCATAAGAGACTCTTAAAAAAACTGAGAATACACTGAGCGTTGATGGGGGGGTGGGAAGGAGGGGAAAGTGAGTGATGGACATTAAGGAGGGCACCTGTTGGGATGAGCACTGGGTGTTGTGTGGAAACCAATTTGACAATAAATTTCGTATTAAAAAAAATAAAAAATAAAATAGTAAAAAAAAGAAAGAAACCAGTCAGATAATATTTGTTTATTTATTTAGTAACCAAGGTTTATAGTTGTTTTGGTAACTGTGCAAGTGTTATGTTAAAGCTCCACTAGCTATCTTCCTTTGGCCACACGTACACATACCTATTTGACCATGTTGAATTTTCAAGGAAACCGATTTCACATCAGTAAGACTATGTGAAACCAAGCCAGGCTTCTTTGAGCCCTATCTCTATGCCAAAAATAAAGGTGAGGGACGTATTTCTGTCTGTCTAGTTTATTCAGAAAGTCTATTTTTCCACCTTTGTCCAGTGTCTATTATATGTTTACACGTCTTCCCCCAATATTCTAGTAAATATATACGTTTGGTCTTTATTTTAGGCTGATGTCCGGCCCCAAACAGATGGATGTAATGGTCTGAGATACAATTTAACCTCCGATATCATTGAGTCCATATTTAGGACCTATCCAGCAGGTAGGAAGAATCAGTCTTTCCACATAGTAGAAATATTTGGATGAATTCAGTAATAATACTTAAGTGAAAAACAAGTATTGCAAGGGAGCATTTTAAATAGCCAAAGTAAAAAAGTTACAGTACTTACGATTTTATTGAGTTTATTGTTTTAGGGGAGATTTTTCTTCCCTACAGTTGATTCTGGAATGGCAAATTGTTTCCATTATTAAAAGTCAAAGTTGTTAGTTTAAAAAAAAGAAAGCTTTACCTTTATTCCTGATGAAGTGCAATAAAATAAGGGTGAAGTACTTACCCAACGTCTGATATATAGTAGTTATTAAGGGCTTAGTATATAATGTGCTGTCATCAGTTCATTGGTATGATGATTTTTCCATTCTTCCATCAGTGGTTCTTAAACTCTATTTACCCTTCAACAAACCTGCACAAGATGGCCTGCTCCAGAGGTATCCGTACATAGTTTCTACAACGCTAACTCAGATCCAACATCATGCTGCCTCCAAAGTGACCTTTCTAACCCACAAATCATTACCCTTGCAGAAACCATCTTAAAAGTATAAATGACTTGATCCCAGCTTTATTAATTGAAGGTGTGCAGCTGAGGTTGCGAGCCCCACCACTTCAGTCATTCTGAGCAAACAGTTCTGTCTCAAAGCATATGCTGTTCTCTCTTCTCACTTCCTCACTGTGCCCCGTTAGTCCTTCAGAAACATAACTCCCCCATGGGATTCAACACAAGTATTGCCTCACTACCACCTCTATAAAATCCTGACTTCTTTGGGCAGGTATACATCTCCCCTTTGCTTCTGTAGGGGCTTGTGTCTGCCTCAACAAGTTATCACGTTGTAATTTTTATATCTTCCTGATAAGAACGTAATTCTATAGTGCATATTACATACCAGACACCATTCCGAGGCCTTGATATATATTAAGTCATTTAGTCATCACAAGTAACCCTACGAAGTAGGCAGTGTTAATACTCTCATAGGACAGATAAGGAAACCGAGATGGAGAAAGATTAAGTAATTTACACAAGGTCACATAGATAGTAAGTGGCAGACCTAGAATTTCAAACCCAGGCTCTCTGGCTCAAGAGACCATGCTCTTAACCTCTTTGCTCATTGGATTGTGAGTTTCTGGGGTGTGCTGAACTGATAGTCCTAGTGGGTATTGATTCTTGGTATTTCTACTAAAACTTTGAAACTCGTTAATTCTTTTGGTGCAAAATAAGGTTTCGTTTGTAATTGGTTAAGATTTATACAGGTAGTGAGTGCCTCACCTAGTCTCTCAAGTTATATTTCAAATTTACGATTAGATTATTATATATGGTATGTAAAGTTGAGCAGGTTAGTAATCTAGTTTTTGCTATTCTGTATTTCAACTCATTTAAGAAGTTTTAAGAAATGGAAACTCTTTATGTAACTATTACGGTTTTTTTCCACAGTAAAAATGAAATATGCAGAAAATGTTCCCCACAACATGACAGAAAAGGAATTTTGGACACGTTTTTTTCAGTCCCATTATTTTCACAGGGACCGGCTGAATACAGGGTCAAAAGACCTCTTTGCAGAATGTGCCAAAATAGATGAAAAAGGTAACTGCTTATCCCTCACATGCTAAAATTTAATTTGCTGTTCTCTAGTCCTCTAGTTATAGTGCTGTTAATGACTTTTTTTATTTTTGAGAAAGGTAAGACTTGACCAACTTTTATTTCATTGATTTTGTAGGGTTAAAAACCATGGTTTCACTAGGAGTAAAAAACCCACTGCTTGACTTGACAGCTTTGGAAGATAAACCATTAGATGAGGTAAGCAGTACCAAAAGAATTTATGAGAGGGGTGCCTGGCTGGCTCAGTTGGTAGAGCATGCAACTCTTGGTCTAGGGGTTGTGAATTTGAGCCCCACATTGGGCATAGAGCCTACTAAAAAACAAAACAAATTTTAATTTTTTTTTTAAACTTTTGTTTATTTTTGAGAGATAGAGACAGAGCATGAATGAGGTAGGAGCAGAGAGAGAGGGAGACACAGAATCCAAGGCAGGCTCCGGGCTCTGAACTGTCAGCACAGAGCCCGATGTAGGGCTCGAACCCACGAACTGTGAGATCATGACCTGAGCCGAAGTCAGACGCTTAACTGGCTGAGCCACCCAGGTGCCCCATAAATTTTAGTTAAAAAAAGAATTTATGAGAAAAAACAGTCTTCCCAGTTTCAACTAGTTTAAAAATTGCCTTCAGTGTAGATATTCCACTTCTGAGAATAAAATACACAAAGTACTGTTATTTGGAGTGATTTATCAGAAGTGCTTCTTAGTAGCACTGTTTGCTATTAAAATTGCCTTGGAGAATTGAACTTACAGGCGTTGCTAAAACTTTTGTAACAGGATTTTAGTCGGTTGAGTGTTGGACTTCAGCTCAGGTCATGATCTCATGGTTTGTGGGTTCAAGCCCGCATCAGGCTGTGTTCTGGCAGCTCAGAGCCTGGAGCCTGCTTCAGATTCTGTGTCTCCCTCTCTCTCTGCCTCTCCCCCATTTGTACTCTCTCTCTCTCAAAATTAAGTAAACTTAAATTCTTTTATTTTTTATTTTTTTATTTTTTTTTCTAGCTTCCACATAGCAATTCTCTAGGTAATAATGTGAAGGCTTAACATGTATTTGTGAGTCCAGCTTTATGCTCTAGCTGACATTAATCTAAAGAAATGTGGATAAATATTAGTAGATGAGGAAAAGATAACAAGCATTTTTCCATAGCCCACTATTTGGCAGACCTTGAACACACTCATGACCCTTACCCTATGCTAGCTCCGATATGTTTCAACAACTAAACCATCAAGTGTGAGCTACCTACCCCTGCATCGTGTCTCCAGACTTACAGATTTATCCAGTCATGGAGAGAGATATGATCCCTTCTGATTAGGGCAAATTCCATTCCTGTTTGTATCTTCTAGGGTAGGAACCTGCCTTCCTCAGGTATTCTCTTCACACTTATATTTTCATTTTCTTACCTTTCTTTTGGTTTCTCTTCTGCTGGCCGTATACACATGCTTATACCTTCCTATCTTATTTTTCTTAACTTTTTCCTTTATTTTCATGTATGAACTCTCCAAGTGAGGAAACTAATGTTAAAATTTTGACCTACAGTCTAGATTATAAATTAACAGAAAATAACCCTTGGTGCCCAGATAAGTCATTTCCTTAATGAAATTTAGTTTTCTTGGTAATTCTCCACATTCAGGCACTTCCTTGCTGAATTTCAACACATTAAAATATGACCTTCTGAAGTCATCCCGAAAAAAATGAAGCTTAATATGGGGGAAAGATTTTAGTGCTTCCCCCTGCCCTCAAGCCCAGTTTTCTTATAAAATGAGGTTAATAGTACTGATTTAGTAGGGAGTAGGAAAGTTGAGATGTTGTTTAAGGGTATCAGCTTACCACTAGTAGATAAATAAGTTTTAGATATCTAATGCACAGCGGAGTCAACAGTGCTGTGTTATAAACTTCAGAGTTGCTGCATCTTAATTGCCCTTACCTCAAAACAAAAAATGATAATTATGTGACATGATAGAGATGTTAGTTAGCTGTAGGGTATCATGTTGGAGCACGTAAGTATCAAATCAACACATTTATACCTTTAACTTCTAAAATGTTACATGTCAATTATATCTCTGGAAAAAAAATGCAAAACAAAAAAAGTGCGGACTTTATGGGATTGCTACAAGAGTTAAAAGAGTGTGGTACACAGTGAGTACTCAACAAATAATAGGTGTTACTATAATTTCTGTTTTTAGTGCTATACAATATTTGATTGTATGGATATGTAAACATATATATAACCAAACCCCTTAATAGAGATCTTGGTTGATTCACTTTTTCCTTTGGTGCCTTTTTCTTTCATCCTCTAGGTGTTATAACTGTCCTAGGTATGGCCTTGGGCCACCTTCTGAATACATTCTCTTCATTCCATTGCTTTGAATACTAATATTGATGATGATGATGATGATGAAATGATGAATCCCAGGTAGCTGTGGTCTCTCTAACCCCAGAACTCCCAAAATCATACATCTGCCTGTTTACTTGATATCTTCACGTAGATATTTCAGACATCTCAGCATAGCATGTCCAAACTGGAACCTTTTATTCCTCGTATATCTGTTTCTTTCTGAGTCTTTCCCATCCATCTCAGTAAAAAAACAAAACAAAACATTGCCATAGACACAGTTGCTCAAGCCAAAACCTGGGAGTCTCCTTGATTCCTTCCCTTCCTTCACCTCCAAAACTCAGTTCATCAGTAAGTCCTCTACAAAACATCTCTGATTTGTCTACATCTGTCCATCTGTACCCTTACACCCTCACTATTAGGCTGCCACCAGTTTTGTCTTGATTGCTTGCGTTAGCCTCCTAATTGGTATTCCTATTTCCACTGTTTTTCCCTATAATTTATTCTCCCCTAGCAGTAAGAGTTATAAATCAGATCATAATAGTTTCCTATGTAAAACTCTTTGATGGATTCTCATTGAAATTAAAATAAAAATCAAAACTCCTACAAGGCTCTTCTTGACTTGGACTCTGTCTGCTTCTACCTCACTTTGGGCCACACCTTCTTTCAGGTCTGTTCCAAGCTTTTTCTACCTCAGGGTCTTTGCACTTACTGTTTCTCCTCCCTGCTCTTCCACCTAACTAGCTTCTACTCATCTTTTAGACATCTGTTCAAATGCTACTTCTTCAAGAGAGACCTTCCCTAACCTGTCTATCTAAAGTAGCTCCTCCTCTCCATCTAGTCACTATATCATGCCACCCCTCTTTATTTTTTTCATACCATCAGTCATTTTCAAAAGTGATCTTTTTATCTTGTCAGAGGGTGACTCTTCTTGTTGTATTGGCTTATCACCCATACATGGCATGTATTAGGCACTCAGTAATTATTTGATAAATGAATGAATGGTATATGAGTCTTTTTGTAATTTTTCTTTTACATCTTTAGTCTTATGTCTTACCAATCCCTGGCCCACCCTTCATTCCAAGTGTACTGCAATACAGAAAAAAACTCATAATATGTATTCTGTTGTTTCTGTACCTTTGTTTAAGCAGATTTTTCTCCCTAAAATATCATTGTCTCTTTGTCTGGCTTGCAAGCACTTATTCAACTTATGGTGCTTCTTGAAGCTTTTTTGAATCTACCACTGCTCTCCTCCAGTGGGATTGGCTACTTCTTCTATTACAGCACATCATATAAGTTTTAACTACATGTACACTTACAGCCCAGCATCCCACTAACTACTACACTGGCTCCTTTGGCACAAGATCTTATTAAGTTTCTGTCTATAGGGCCTAGCACATAGCATAAACTCAATACATGTTTGAAAATATCTATTTCTCCAGTATCTCATTTTACATAGCTTAGACTTGCTTACACTAATACTAGCAAAGTTATAAAGCCAGAATTTGAAAACATATCTATGTGACTCCAAAGTCCATGGTTTTTTTTCCCCTACCATATTCTATTACTTCATTTAATATTTTGCTAGCTATATCTAAAACTGGTCTTTAAAAAATGCATGTTTCGAGGCACCTGGCTGACTCGGTAGAGCATACAACTCTTGATCTAAAGGATGTGAACAACTTTGAGCCCCACATTGGGTGTAGAGATTACTTTTAAAAATAAAATCTTAATAACAAATGCATGGTTTAAGGTTAAGATTATTTTTGTGAAGCCAGAAGGAATATGTTGTATTTTTAATCTTAACTTATTTTTAAATGTTTACCTGTAAAAATTAAGTAATTCTCAGAATTAATGAAGTCCCATCATCCAATTTTTTCAGCTAGCGTATCTCTCATAATGGGTAAGAAAACTAGAATTTTATTTTGAATTTTAATCCTCTAAATTATTTCTCCTAGGGCTATGGCATTTCTTCTGTGCCATCTGCTTCTAATTCCAAATCCATAAAGGAGAATAGTAATGCTGCCATCATCAAGAGGTTTAACCATCACAGTGCCATGGTCCTGGCAGCAGGTCTCAGGAAACAGTTAAGTATACATGCAAAGGTTCAATAACTGGACTTTTCAAGATAGCCAGATGGAGTTGTATTGTTGCTCTGCTTGTGATTTTTAACATTTTTCCCACTTTGTTTTAAGAGAAGCACAAAATGAACAAAATGGTGAGCCCAGCAGCATTGATGGAAATTCTGGAGATGCAGATTGCTTCCAACCAGCAGTCAAAAGGGTATGAGTAAAAAGTGTGGAACGTTTAGAACTCAGGTTTCTCCAGAAACCTTGTATAACTTACTAGTGCTTTATGTTGATCTTTGATTATTTAAAATGACTCAGTTCTTCTGGTCGAGACATTAGGTGTTAGACATAAGTTATAGAACACTTAAAAGAACACTTTCTTGGTTTTAACTTGCCAGCCACCTTTCCATGAACTCCTGTCTATTCACTGTTTTTATTGGCTTTCTTCTCTTTTTTTTCCTTCACATCTACACATACAGTTTGTGTTGTGGGCAAGAGTATCAACAAAGGCAATATGACAAGAATAAAAACTAAAGGTCTGTGTATATGATTTTAGAAGGTAGGGTTTGGGCCTTATATTAAGAGCTAGAGCTCTTATATATTAACCTCTTATATATAAGTTCTTAATATGTAAGAGCTTATATATTTCAGAGCTAGAAATGTGTTCTCATTAGATATTGAAGAAATCATTTAGGGCTATGAGAGAATAAGGACACAATTGTCTACTTCCATATTTCTTCTTTCTTTGCAACTTTGCCAAGCTACTCTTTCAGTTTGTTAAACTTCCTTCCCAATTACAAAAAATGAATATGATAAAGTTTTCTTAGAGGGCAATCAGGCAATATATATTAAAATTTTAAAGGTTTATTGCCCTGTCCATTTTGGGACAGCATTTCATTTTGGACACTTATTTAAAAAGGTAAAGATGTGCAAAGATTTAGATATCAATATTCATTACAGTACTATAATAGAGAAAATAGCAAATATCCTAATGATATCTGTGGTGCGTCCAAACAATGTAGATTGATGCAACCATGAATAACTTGAAAAGGATTCGTGACCTACTGAATTGAAAGGAGTTCACATTTACCATAACAGTAGTGTAGTTCATAAAAAATTAAAGACACCAATTTTTTTAATTGTTTATTTTGAGAGAGAGAGTACGTACATGCATGAGAGAGGGACAGAGAGAGAGAGAGAGAGAGAGAGAGAGAGAGAGAGAGAATCCCAAGCAGGCTCCATGCTTTCAGTGCAGAGCCAAACGTAGGGCTTGATCTCACGAACCATGAGATCATGACCTGACCCAGAATCAAGAGTCAGAGGCTGAACTGACTGAGCCACCCAGGCACCCAAGAAACCATTTTTGAGTTGCCTAAAATACTAAGGGGTGGGAAACAAAAATGAATTTAACAGTTCTTATTCTCAGCGTTCAGTGTCTATAGGGAAGACGAAATCAAAAGAACAATTTCAAAATAAGGTATAGTAATTGTGGGGTGCCTGGGTGGCACAGTTGGTCGAGCATCTGACTCTTGACTTTGATTCAGGTCATGATCGCCCATTGTGTGAATTCAAGCCCTGCATCGGGCTCTGTGCTAACACTGTGGAGTATGCTTAGGATTTGTCTCCCTCTCTCTCTGCCCGTCCCCCACTTGCTCTGTATGTCTCTCAAAATAAATAAAAGTAAATGTGAAAAAAAAAGTATGGTAGTGTTATTTACAATAGGAACCAGAATAAAAATTAATGAATTAAATAAAAAGTTCACAGATCAGACTGTGTGACACAATTTCATATGTAAAAAAAACTTTAAGAACTTTTTAAAAAGGACCTCAGAAATATACGCTAAGGGGTTATCTTTCCATAAAGGGATTATGGGTGATTTTTAACTTGAGTTCGTGTTTCAGTAACTTAATATGTTTTTACAGGCATATGCACTTTTAAAATTAACAAACCCAAGAAAATATTTTTTTTTCTTAAGTTTTTAACTATTTTTTTAAATGTTTATTTATTTTTGAGAGAGAGAGAGACAGAGCATGAGCGGGGCAGGAGTGAGAGAGAAGGAGACACAGAATCTGCAGCAGGCTCCAGGCTCTGAGCTGTCAACAGAGCCCTACATAGGGCTTGAACCCATGAACTGCAAGATCATGACCTGAACTGAAGTTGAATGCTTAACCGACTGAGCCACCTTGGTGCCCCAAGTTTTTATTTAAATTCCTGTTAGTTAACATACAATGTAATACTAGTTTTAGGTGTACAATTTAGTGATTCAGTACTTACATACAATGCTTGGTGATCATCACTTGGTGTACTCCTTTAAAAAATACTTATTTAAGCCATAAATAAATGACTAAGAAAAGTGAAATGAAAATTAAAGTTACAGGGGCGCTTGGGTGGCTCAGTCAGTTGACTGAACTCAGTTGAGTGACCATTAATTTCGGCTCGGGTCACATAGTCTCACGATTAGTTATATCAAGCCCTCATTAGGCTCCACGCTAACTGTGGAAGTCTGCTTAGGATTCTCTCGCTCTCACTCTCCCCCTCGCATGCATGCGCTCTCTCTCCAAATAAGTAAATAAACGTTAATAAAATAAAAAATGAAATGAAAGTTACAGAGAGGAGTTTAAGGAGAAATACAGGAAATGACACTCTTTGCAATACTGTGCACTAAGTACATTTGATTCTTGGTAATTAAAGAGTTGTCAAAAGTCATGGTTTGTTACATTTTCACAATATTCAATATTACTGACTCTGTTCTTTCAAATCAATAGTTTGAAATAGTCTGCTCTATGTTCTGCAAAAGGGTCTTAAAGAATGAGAGATTCAGAAGTAGTAATAGACAAAGTCCTTACTTTATAGATTTTTCATTTAGGTATGTGAGTCATGATGCCTAACGAGGCCCTTAGCAGAGGTTTAGGATTTGGGTTGTTATGGGAGGTTAGGGAGGGACATGACTTAGGCAACAGCAGGGGTAGAAATGAGCTTGACATACATGGAAAGTAATGAAGATATTGGTATGCCTTGAATTTAGCTGAAGGGTATAGAGTTGAGAAAGTAGTAAAAAATTAGGCTGAGTCCAGGTAAAGTGGGGCTGATGAATGTGTTACTTTGAATATTCTACCATCAGGTCTGTTCCTAAACTACAAGAGGACTATTCAGACTGTCAAAATAGGGACTTTAAAATACTAAGTTTTCAAATCCTTTCTGAGAGTTACTTAATAACCTAAATGTTTTGATCCTAGTCCTGGTAGCTATAGGTGAGGGTTGACCAGAAGGTTTCATTGTTAAAGGGGCACCTGGATGGCTCAGTCAGTTGCGTGTCCGACTTCAGCTCAGGTCACAATCTCACAGTTTGTGAGTTCAAGCCCCGTGTTGGGCTCTGTGCTGACAGCTCAGAGCCTGGAGCCTGCTTTGGTCTCTGTGTCTCCCTCTCTCTCTCTGCCCCTACTCCACTCACAGTCTGTCCCTCTCTGTCTCTCAAAAATGAATAAACATTAAGAAAATAAAACTAAAAAAGAAAGGTTTCATTGCTGTGTAAAGGCTGAAATGTTGTAGAATTATTTTCACAAATGTCCATGTAGATTGCTTTCTCATGTCTTATAAAGTAGGCTGTAGGAATTTAGCAGTTTGTAAAGATGAGTAAAACAAAGTAAAGAGTACAGAAGTAAACCCAAATACACGGAAAAATTAAATATATATATATGATAAACATGATATTTCAGAATTAATGGGACAAGACAGATTATTCTACAAATGAGTGTTAAGAGGACTGATTAATAATTTAGTAAAAAGAAGCTCAGATTCCCTGCCTTCTTATTCCAAAATAAACTCTAAGTGGATCAAAGATTTAAGGAGAAAATTAATCCACAGAAGAATAAGCAAAAAAGGGATAGTTAAAACCAAAAAACGCCCAATTGGAAGAAAACGTATTTACAACATTTACAATAAATTAGTCTTTTGGCCGCCTGGGTGGCTCAGTCGGTTAAGTGTCCGACTCTTGACCTCCGCTCAGGTCTTGATCTCAGGGTCGTGAATTCAAGCACTGAATTGGGCTCTGTGCTGGGTGTGACGTCTACTTAGGAAAAAAAAAAATAGTCTTATGTGGTGGAAAAATAGTAAAAGATACCATTTTCATCTGCCAGACTATTAAAAATTAAAGGTTCAGTAATAATATGGTCAGAGTGTAGGAAAACAGGTATTCTGTAAATGGTTGGTGAGAAAATGAGTTCAACCAATTGTAGAGCAGTGATCTCCAGGAACTGAAGCTCATGGTGGGAAGACTTCATATTTTACTCTCTGTAGAGTTGTACTTTTTCAATCATGTTCATTACTCTAGTAAGGAAAAGTTTCCACATAAAGTGCTGTGTTAATAATTATAGGCGAAGTTACAAGAGTCCATTGAATATGAAGACTTGGGAAAAAATAATTCCATAAAAACAATTGCACTAAACCTCAAGAAGTCAGATAGGTAAGTTTGGTCAATATTAAATTAACCTGAGACACAATAGTTTTATAACACAAGTCACTGCAGAGTATATTCTGCAAGTATAGCACTCCAGTTTTAAATCATTTTACCATAAAAATATATTATCTTTTTCTTTGAGAATTTACTTTGTGCATTTCAGAAAAGGATGCTAAATGATCAAAGCCAAGATAAAAATGTGTTCTCTGTACTGTTTGCTTACTGCCCATATAGGAATTAAGTTACTTTATTGAAATCTATTTAGCTTATATTATTTTTTGCTTTGGGGATAATGTTATATTGAGACTGCTAAAATATTTGAAGGACAAATGTTACGTGCCTTTATTCTGTGTTATGAGTCATTTCTTTCTTCCTTGCTAATCTTCAGGTATTATCATGGTCCAACTCCAATCCAGTCACTACAGTATGCAACAAGTCAGGACATTATTAATTCTTTTCAAAGTATTAGGCAAGAAATGGAAGCTTATACACCCAAATTAACTCAGGTAGGTGACTTGCACTGTTTGAAAACCAAAATTCCCTTAGTTATTTCCTCAGTTTATGAGGACAAACACATTGAATTATATAAACTGTTTTAATTGCATTTAAAGACATATTGCCACTAAATAAATTGAAAAAAAGAGGTAGGAAGAAAAAGGTATTTGGCATATTCAAGAAGCATCTGAAGTTAAGGTGGTAATGAAAAATAAGATAATGAGTTTTGTGCCAGTTTTTTCCCTTCCGTATACATAGTGTTGCTGGGGAAATTTCCCAGATTTCCAGAAAACTTGTGGACATCACTGTCTAAATATTTTGCATGACCTTAAACTAGAATATATAAAATAGATCTTATTATCTAGTCTTTATTTTTCCCTGCTCTTATTCATACTTAAATGGATCAGCCAGTTCTGTCCATTCTTCATTATTTCTTGACTCCTATCACCTTGGTTTAAGCAAACCTGAGTAGTTTTCCACAATGCCACTACAAGTTCTCTTTCTAAAAACAAATTTATAACCCTGTAGCTTAAATCCTTTACTGACCCCTTTTGTTGCTATGGTTACTGTCTGAATGCCTCATCTGGTGTGCCAGAATCTTTACGTCTGGCCCGAACCCACATCTCCAGCTGCATTTCCACCATTCCTTTCCACACACAACCAAGAGTCCTCTCTCCAACCTAACACACAAAACTGCCTAGAAAACAAAGTCATACTTTCTCTCTTAGCCTGTTTCCTGACCCTGAGGACCTAATAATAATTATTCAAAACTGAACTCAAATTACATTGTCTCTGTAAAGCAATTCTCAGCATGCCCAGCAACAAGTTTTGGAGGTGGGGGGCGGGGGGCACATCTTTTGTCTATTTTTGTAAACTCTGAATCAGAGTTCACATCTGTCTTGTAGTGCTTACCACATATTGGAACTTATTTTTTTTACTTACAGAAAGTTGCAAAAAAATGTTTTCTGGCTGTTTTGAGATAGAAACTCAAATATTTCAGTGTGTATTTCCTAAAACAAGACATTCTCATAAATAACACAGTACAATTCTCATACATAACATAGTACAATTACAGAAACGATAAGTTAACATTGATAAAGAATTTTTTTTTTAATGTTTGTTTATTTTTGAGAGAGTGCAAGCAGGTTAGGGGCATAGAGAGAGGGAGACAGAGGATCCAAAGCAGGCTCCATGCTGAGAGCAGAGAGCCTGACATGGGGTTCAGACTCCCAAGTCACGAGATGATGCCCTGAGCTGAAGTCAGATACTTAACCGACTCAGCCACCCAGGTGCCCCTAACATTGATAAAGTATTATTATCCAGCCTATAAGTCTTAACAAACATTTCACCAGTTGTACCACCAGTGTTCCTTGGAGCAAAAGAAAACTGTTTTTTCCTTGGTCCAGCATCCAAGTCAAGTTCATTGAGTTGCATTTAGTTCTCGTGTTTTTTAGTCTCTTTTAAAATGGTATCATTTTAAAAATAAATAAATAAGGTAAAATGGTATCGTTTTTCAATCTCTCTTTGTTTTTCATGATCTTGATATTTGAATAAAAGCCAGTTTTTGTAAAATACCCTCACTTTGAGTTTCTCTAATGTTTCCTCATGACTAGATTCACATTAAGCATTTTGGACAAGAATACCACAGAAATGATGTGTCATCCTCAGTGTATTATATCAGGAGGCACATACTTAATTTGTCCTAACTTTTGATCACTTGGGTAGGGTAGTATCTATCTGGTTTTCCACCAAAAAGTTAATATTTTCCCTCTGTAATGAGTATCTTGAGAGATATTTTAAGACCATATAAATATTCTATTTCCTATCAAACTTTTACCCACTAGTTTTTTAGAATCCGTTGATGATTCTTACCAAAACACTTACTTGTGTGGTGGTGGTGGTGAAGTGGTGATTTTCTAATTCCATCATCCCTTCTACATTCGTCAGTTGACACTTTGCTGAGACAGCTTCCCTTTCCTTCTGTGTTTATTTATAACAGAATGGACTCATGGGTTTTTACATTATTTTGTGGGTTATGAACTGTTGCTGTCTTTTTGTTAAACTAAAGTATAATTTACATAGTTAAATGTACCTTTTTTAGTCTCTTCTGCAACTTTTAATAAACACAGTTGTGTAACCACTGACACAATTAAAAAAATTTGTCACCTCCAAAAATGTACCCGTGCCTCTTTGCAATCAGACCCTTCCCACGCCCTTCACACTGGCTCCTATATCTTTCTGACAATGTCCTCATCAATTTTTGAGCACCTCATTTTGAGTACCTTACTTTATGGAACGATGAGATAGATGTTCCAGGTTCATCTTATGCTTGCCCTGCCCCAGCCACAGAATCTTTTTTAATGTTGGGTACACTTAGAAACCAAGATCTGGGTGTGGTGTACTGGTTGCTGTTGGGGTGTCATTTGCTACTGGTTTATCGTCCCCTCCGCGAACAGAGCTAGGAAATACATATATGTTCATATATGTACACATAACAATTGTGGGATAATTTGACTCCTTTTTTTCATCTGTAGTGTAACCCAGCATCTGGCCTTTGGGCCTAAGTAGATCCTCCTAACTTTTTCAAGCTGTGGTCAATCCTAGATACTTAAATTCTTCCCCATACTCACCCTGCATGCCAAAAATGATTTTATATCTGAGACACATGAATTGAGTCAGGAAGGCCCAAGAAATCAATTGTCTGGGTGTATATACCTGAGTACGGCCCGTGGCTAGTCAGCCAGCTCAGCAATCACAGAAGCTTCTAGTTCCAAAGCATTATAAAATTTCTGACAAAAGTGAATAGGAATAACATGAACTCCCATGTCCCCTTAACTTGTGGTGGTCATATCCTGTACTCTTACACCAAGTTGAAATTTTGTTTTCACCCAGTCCATATACCATGGATTTCTACTTAATAAAAACTCCATTGAAAAGCCTTAGAGAGGGTAACCCTGCACTTGAGCTATTCAACAAATGACTTGTTCCTCTATAACCACAGTGCCTGGCACTTGTTAGGCACTCACTGAATAGATATGTGAATTATTTTCCTAGCTGTTGATACTGATACAGTGGGGAGTGTGTTTTTTCCCCTTTTGGTTAAGTATTCACTTCCTTGGAAAACTACAAATGATATATTTCTGCTCTGTTGAGTTTTCTCTTTTTTCCCCCTAGCTGCCAGTAAGTATACATGTTAACATGTTGTTTTAGTTTTTTTTCTTAAGCTCAGTTTTAGCTTCAGTTGTAGAGTTCACAAGTTGAGTTGGTACTTAAGAAGGGCCAAAGTGTGACTTTTGGGGTCTAAAGATGTGCCAGGTATTACTGGAAGACTGGTAGGTATTCTGTTTCTATGCACACTGTGTTTCTGGCCTCACACAAAGTAGTTCACTCTAGTTGCTGTAGATTATGTGTTTATGCAGGAGTAAAGATGCACTAACCATTTTGCTGTAAAGCTGAAATGTTAGGTAGGAAAGATGACAGGAAGAGGAAATCACTTTCTGTGTCTTCGCTTCTTGCAGGTTCTCTCAAGTAGTGCTGCCAGCAGTACTATCACAACACTGTCACCTGGAGGAGCACTTATGCAGGGAGGGACACAGCAAGCCATAAACCGTATGTGCTGGGCTTTCTGTTGCTGCCCCTTTACTTAAATGAGCTCTAAAGAGCAGCTTGAGAGGAATGCTAAAGTTACATTGGTTTTTGTTTGGAGCTTTCTGAAATTTTTGTTTTTGTGCATATAGATCCTGAGATCTATTTAGACAAGAGCTTAGGTTTTGTAATTGTCTTAATAGTACAAAGAGTGGTGCATTGCTAGTCTCCCTATAGCATACCAAAAGCCTTCTTTTTTACTTTACACCTCTTAGAATAAAGGGAAATCTGAAAATTGCTCCAAAATCCAAGGGAATTTAAACTCTGGGATCTGTTAGCCACAAAATCGGTAACTTGTCTCAGAATAGCACATCCTGGTTTGGCATTGGCCGAGAACACACGTTCAGATTTATTCTATGAGTGGTCGTTCTTTCAGAAGCTATACATATGTAAAAATAACCTTTATCCTATAGACCTCTTGTTTCTTCTACAGAGATGGTGCCAAATGATATTCAGTCTGAGTTGAAACACCTGTATGTGGCTGTTGGGGAACTTCTACGGCACTTCTGGTCCTGCTTTCCCGTTAATACACCATTCCTAGAAGAAAAGGTCAGAATTAATTCCAAACACAGCCAGCTCAGTGGTGGTGTGACTTAGCGAGATACTGTTTTGAAATTTGAAAATTGTATTGTTTACCATGTGCTAGACACTGGGATAAGCACTTGCATACGTTAATTTAAGCCTTCAGCATCCTGATGGAGGTAGGTATTAAAACCCATTTTATAGATGAAGAAATTTGAGATACAGGCCAGTTCTATAACTTATGATTGTACGTCTTAAAACTTGTGTCTACCTCTAAGCCACTGGGAGTAATTGAAGAACACAGATCCAAAACAAATCACATCAGTAAAATTATTTATTTGGTATATTTTTTAGAGGTAATTAAATTCAAACTTATATTGACAACAAATATAGCACTAGCTGTTTAACACTGAAACCCTTTTAAATCAATTAAAGGACAGTTGATACATGGGAAAATATTTACAGCTTTAATAGTAATAGCTTAACTATATAGATTACTCTTATAAACATTTCTTAAGAGAACGGTAAATACCCCATTAAAAATAATAGGCAAGAGACTTCTAACAGGCCCCTCACTAAAGAATGCGGGTGGTTCAGGAAACCTAAGAGGAAATTTTCATACTCACTAGTATTCAAATAAGTTCATCTTTAACGCTACAGCAAAAGAGCATTTTTTTTTATCAATTATTTATTTTATTTATTTATTTTTTTTTTTATCAATGATTTTTAAAAGAAAAAATTTTAAGTGATCAGTGATGGCTGAGTTGCCAAGAGTTCTTTCTTTTATTATTCATACTACCTTTTAAAAAAAAAGTTTGACCCAGAAATTTAACCTAAGGAAGTAATTAAGAATATTTATAAATATTTAGCAGTAGAGATGTTCCTCTGCCACTGTCTCCGAAAGATGTGGAACTGGCCTGACTCTTGACCAGAAGGGGCTTGGTTAAAGAAGCATTTGGTATGCCCGTACACTGAATACAATGCATCCATTTTAAACAGTGACTTAGATGAGTATTTAATGATTGAAAGATGTTCACGTTAAACCAAGTGAAATTTTAAAACAGTATAATAAATGCATTTATACACATATACAAAAAATATCGAGAGGGATATGAATTATGAACCAAAGTGTTAATTATCTCTGAGGGGTGGTAGATACTGCTTCTCTGCCTGAAGCCAATTAATGTATTAAAAAAAAAAAGTAAACTTCCTATGTATCTTTTTCTCTTGCTTCTTAAAGGTTCTTTGAGATTTCTCTGTATTTTATTAATTTCTCTCATCTTTTTTTAGGTAGTGAAAATGAAAAGTAATTTGGAACGATTTCAAGTTACAAAGCTCTGCCCATTCCAAGAAAAAATTCGGAGACAGTATTTAAGCACAAACGTAAGGCAACAATCTGATTGGCCTGATTCTCATTCTCTGTGTAGCAAAATGATGAAATTAACTTTGTTTTCATGTAAATGAGTAGATACATTGGCTCTTATTTTTTTTCTGTTACTCAGTATTATTGTTTTTAAGTTTATTTTATTTTTTTTAGCAATCTCTACACCCAACATAGGGCTCAAACTCATGACCCCAAGATCAAGAGGGGCGTGCTCTTCCAACTGAGCCAGCCAAGCACCTCTCACAGGACTGTTTTTTAATTGTAAAATGCATCATATATTCAGAAGAGTGTATAAAATACTTACACTTTTTAAAACAATGAAATGAGTATCTACCAACAAATCATAAGAAATGGAACAAAACCGGTACCCATAGGTATTCCCTGTCCAGTTGCCTACCCCTCCTTCGCACTCTTTCAGGACCACAACTAATCAGGAATTTATCATAATCATCTCCATGGTTTTTGTTTTTCTCTTTTTTAAGTAAACTGCCCCCAGCATGGGGCTCAAACTCAACAACCCCAAGATCGAGTTGCCTGTTCTACCCACTGAGCCAGCCAAGTGCTCCAATCATCTCCGTGTTTTGCTTTATGGATTTACAACCTGTGTGTATGTTCCTAAAAAAATAATTATTTAGAAAACCTGACTAGCAAACACAAACCCAACCCTGCAAAGAAAGGCAGACTTGCTACTCTGTAACAATAAACTGTACAGTTGCTGCCTTAGAGTCTGCCTTCGCCTTCCCTGATGGCTTACAGCAGGGCAGGGCTGTGGGTGAGGTAGTGAGTGCAGAGTGTCACTTGGTGCCCAGGTTTTTTTAACATTTTTTTGAATGCAAGGCTACAGCAACCACACGAGATGGTTTTTCATTTGTTATGCAGTCCTCTCTGAGATGACTGGGCAAGAAGAGTATATACAAATTCAGGATTTAGTATTTGAGTAAGTAGCACAATCAAAAGAGGGAGTTTTATCATTGAAAGCTGAAAAATTCTTCATCAGTAAGGTTTTTAGTAAGTATTTATTCCCTAATGTCCTCAGTGATTTTTCTCAAAATATAACAGTAGTACTTACAATCAGAAAAGAAACTTGGAGTATCTTCCCAACAGCAGAGCAAGAGTGACACATAGGTTTCAGTTCATGTGTTTCCTTGATTGTAACTGCCTGGAGCACTATGGTAAAAAGGATTCTGAGGCCACGTGCAGGCATTAACTTGGAGAATACTGTAGGTTTGTTTCCACACCACTGAAGTAAAGTGAGTCAAATGAATTTTCTGTTTCCTAGTGCATGTACAAGTTAGGTTACACTGTACTGCAGTCTGTTAAATGTGCAACAGCATTGCATGTAAAAAAAAAAAAAACACTGCATACCTTAATAAGAAAATACTTTATTGCTAAAATTGCTATCCACCTTACCTCTCTGTTGGTGGCTGCTGACTGATCAGGTGGTGGTTGCTGAAGGTTGGGGTGGCCGTGGAAATTTCTTGAAATAAGACAACCTTAGGGGTGCCTGGGTGGTTCAGTTGGTTGAGTGTCTGACTTCGGCTCAGGACATGATCTTACGGTTCGTGAGTTTGAGTCCCACTTCAGGCTCTGTGCTGACAGCTCAGAGCCTGGAGCCTGCTTCAGATTCTGTGTCTCCCTCTCTCTGTGCCCCTCCCCTGCTTGTACTCTGTCTCTCTCTTTCAAAATAAACATTAAAAAAAAATAATAAGACAACAGTGAAGTTTGCCACAGCAATTGACACTTCTTTTGCAAATGATTTCTGGGTAACATGCGATGCTATTTGACAGCATTTCACCTACAGTAGAACTTCTTTCAAAATTCAGAGTCAGCCCTCCCAAACCCTGCTTGCTGCTTTATCAACTAAGTTTACGTAATATTGTAAATCCTCTGTTGTTGCTTCTACAGTCTTCACTGCATCCTCAACCAGGAGTAGATTCCATCTCAAAAGACTACTTTCTTTGTTCAGCCCTAAGAAGCAACTCCTGGGGTTCCTGGGTGGCTCACTCGGTTAAGCATCCGACTTCAACTCGGGTCATGATCTCGCAGTTTGTGAGTTTGAGCCCTGCGTCAGGCCCTGTGCTGACAGCTCAGAGCCTGGAGCCTGCTTCGGATTCTGTGTCTCCCTCTCTGTCTGCCCCGCCCCCGCTTGCTCTCTCTCTCTCTCTGTCTCTCAAAAATAAACATTAAAAAAAAAAAAAAGAAGCCACTCCTCATCTGTTCAGGTTTTGTCATGAGATGGCAGCAATTCAGTCATGTCCTCAGACTCTACTTTTATTTCTAGTTCTCTTGCTTTTTCCACCAGCTTGCAGTTACTTCCTCCACTGAAGTCTTGAACCATTCACAGTTATCCATAAGGGTTGGAATCAGCTTCTTCCAAATTGCTGTTAATATTGATACTTTGACCTCTTTCCATGAATCACAAATATTCTTAATTTTTTTTTAATGTTTGTTTATTTTTGAGAGGGGGGGAGGAGGAGTAGAGAAAGAGGGAGACACAGAATACGAAGCAGGCTCCAGGCTCTGAGCTGTCAGTACAGAGCCCGAAGTGGGGCTTAAAATCACAAACCACAAGATTATGACCTGAGCTGAAGTCGGACACTTAACTGAGCCACCTGGGCGTCCTGAGTCACAAATTTTTTTTTTTTTAATTTTTTAAAAATTATTATTTTTGAGAGAGACAGACAGAATGCCAATGGGTTAAGGGCAGAGAGAGAGGGAGACGCAGAAGCAGGCTCCAGGCTCTGAGCTGTCAGCACAGAGCCTGATGTGGGGCTCGAACTCATAAGCTGTGAGATCATGACCTGAGACGAAGTCGGACACTCAACCGACTGAGCCACCCAGGCGCCCCCTGAGTCACAAATATTCTTAATGGTATCTAGAATGGTGAATCCTTTCCAGAAGGTGTTTAGTTTACTTTGCCCAGATCCATCAGAGGAATCACTGTCTATGGCAGTTATAGCCTTAGGAATTGTATTTCTTAAATAATAAGACTTAAAAGTCAAAATTATTCCTTGACTCATGGGTTACAGAATGAATGTTGGGTTAGCAGGCATAAAAACAATGTTCATCATGTCTCCATCAGAGCTCTTGGGTAGCCAGGTGCATTGTCAATGACCAGTAATATTTTGAAAGGAATCTTTTTCTGAGATCTCAACAGTGACCGTAAATGTTCACTAAACCGTGTTATAAAATAGATGTGCTGTCATCTAGGCTTTGTTGTTCCATTCATAGAGCACAGGCAGAGGGGATACAGCATAATTTTTAAGGGCCCAAGGATAATCAGAATGTTAAATGAGCATTGGCTAAAACTTAAAGTCACCAACTGCATCAGCTCCTGGTAAGAGAATCAGCCTGTTCTTTGGAGTTTTGAAACCAAGTATTGACTTCTCCTCTCTAACTATGAAAGTCCTAGATGGCCTCTTCCAATAGAAGGCTGTTTTGTCTGTGTTGAAAATCTGTTGTTTAATGTAGCTACCTTCATTAATTATCTTAGCCAGGTCTTCTGGATAACGCACTACAGTTTCTACATCAGCACTTGCTGCTTCACCTTGTACTTTTTTGTCTGTTACAGAGTTGTCTTCTTTCCTTAAACCTCAGGAACCAGCTTCTGCTGCTTCAGACTTCTCTTCTGCAGCTTCCTCACCTCTCTCAGCCTTGAACAGAGTTAGGGCATTGCTCTGGATTAGGCTTTGGCTAAAGGGCATGTTGTGGCTGGTTGGAGTTTTTATCCAGACCACTAAAACTTTCTCCATATCAGCTATAAGACTGTATTGCTTTCTTTTCATTTCATGTGTTCACTGGAATAACACTTAATGTTTTTCAAGAACTTTTCTTTTGCATTCACAGCTTGGCTAACTGGCACAGGAGTCTTTGCTTTCAGCCCGTCTCAGCTTTCAACACACCTTCCTCACTAAGCTTAATCATTTCTAGCTTCTGATTTAAAGTGAGAAACATGTGACTCTTCCTTTCAGTTGAATATGTAGAGGCTACTGTAGGATTATTCATTGGCCTGATTTCAATATTGTTGTGTCCCAGGGAATAAGGAGTCTTGAGGAAAGAGAGAGAGGGGAATGGCTGGTCAGTGGAGCAGTCAGAATACACACAACATTTATTAAGTTCACCATCTTAACAGGCATGGTTCGTGGTGCCCAAAAACAATTGCAAAAACATCAGAGTCACACTAGTCACAGATTAGGGTAACAACATAATAATAATGAAAAAGTTTGAAATATTGCAAGAATTACCAAAATGTGACCTGGCACAGAGACACAAAGTGAGCAAATGCTGTTGGTAAAACGGTGCTGAGAGACTTGCTTGATGCAGTGTTGCCACAAACTTTCAATTTGTTGGAGAGAGAAAAAAAAAAAAAAAAAACCATTCCTGAGAAGCATAATAAAACTTTGCACAGTAAAACAAGATATACCTGTACAGTCTTCCAGGAGAGCTTGCCATTCATCTCTTCTAATTGGCACTATGGAACCAGTATGCCCATCCAGTAAAGTAAATTATTTTTATATACTTTCCAGGCAGGTTCAACTTTCATGTTGTCCTTTAGCTGCTTAATGGCAGGGCAGACACTACAACCCAGATAGAGCAGGTGAATTTCCAGCCTCTCCCACCATCTCTTCCCTTTTATACAAAACGGCTCTGGTAATAACCTTCACAGAGGGCTTGCCCTTTGCCTCATTGGGGTAATACAAATGAGCATAGAAACTACACTGAAGTATGTGCCAGATCTGGATCAGAAGCATTAACTTCCCCAGCCTTTGCCCAGTTATTGCTGAAGTTTCTTGCTGTGTTTTTCAGTTGGTAAGTCACATAGAGGAGATGCTCCAGACAGCCTACAACAAGCTCCACAAGTGGCAGTCACGGCGTCTGATGAAGAAAACGTGAAGTGTCTGTGACTCTCACAGGTTTTGTGAGAGTAAGAGAACTGTGACCTGCAGTGACTCTGGAAACCTGGCCTGAGACATGCCGATGATCACACAGCAGTGACAAACATCTGCACCATGCCAACTCTCGGAGCTGATGCTGTTGTACTTGCACATTGTGAACTGAAAGGAAAGGAACTGTGACTAAACTCGAAGCTGGGGAGGTAAATTAAGGCAGAACCAAAATGAGCTAAGTTGCAAATATATATATATACATATATATATATTTTAAAGAGAGACTGTTTACTGCAGTTACTCAGGAACTGCTTTTGATTCACATTAAGCTGCTTTCAGAAATTAAAAAAAAAAAAAAACTTTTTAAAAGGGTGCATTGATAAAATCTGAGGTTTTTTTTTTTCTTTGTAAATTTTTTTCCTAAGTTTATGGCACAGGGTACACCTTAAGTATTTCTCCTCCATCCTCCACATGGATCCTCAAGTTGTACTGAATTCTAGTCGTACCTTACATCAGCAAGTTAAAGAGAGTACTTTAAAGCAGGAGACTGTTGCTCAACCATCAGGAAACAGTTGTAGTCAGAAGACATCATTGGTCCTGTGTTTCCTACGGAAATAAGAAACAATAAATGTTGCACTGAATGTTTGTGGTTTGGAGTCCCTAAATGATTAAGAGGGAACATATTTGCAGAAAGTTGCGTGGGATTTTTTATGCAGATTTTTGTCAGAAGACAATGGCGCTGCATGTTTTTCTTTGAGTGCAAATGTACATTGCTAAGATTTTTTTTTAAGATGGCATGTGCTTTGAAAAGAGGAAATTGCATTTTTAAGAGTTTAAAAATCTTATGAGTGAGAAATATAAGAAATCTTACTTATTTTCACCTCTTTAGAAAAAATAAAAGATGTTTCTCATATCTCCTTTTCTCGAGTATCTGACTGTTACTGTCTTTGGCGAATCGATAATCATTGCATAGTGACTGAAAAGCCTAAATGGCAAAAGAAAAAAAAAAGTTTCATTCTTGTTTCTGGAATCATGCCATGTTTTGTTCCTAATAGGATCAACTCACTGTTTATCTAGATTTTAGATGTCTTATATTAAAAATTACAGAAAAAAGTAAAACTTTTTTATAGATACTCCTTTAACTATTAAGACATCTTACGGTTTCTCACATGTTATATTTACGTGGGTGGGCTACTCTTAAAGCCATTGTAGCTCGTTTTATTTTTTTTCTTCTGTTATTTAAAAAAAAACTTTTTTATTGAAGTGTAGTTGACCTACAATGTTATATTAGTTTCAGGTTTATAGTATAGGGATTCTGCAACTCTACATGTTATGCTATTTGTTCACCACAAGTGTAGCTACCGTCTGTCACCATTTATTACAGTACCATTGACTATTCCGTATGCTGTACCTTTCATCCTTGTGGCTGATTGATTCCGTAACTGGAAATCCTGATTATCTTTCATATAATGGCTACAGCAGGTCAAAAACCTGGACATTGAACTAGTAAAAGAAAAGGGGCAACATCCCTTTTGGCTTCAGTCTTCCCATCTCTCCTTCAGATCAATATAGTAATGGTGTAATCCCTTACACCTTACAGTTTTACAAAGTGCTTTTCAAGTGTATTATCACTACAGCTACTCTAAGCAATAACAATGGAGCAGGTAGAAAAATGTTTGAAATAGAAGAGTATGTCCGTTGGGAAAGGCAGGTATAAACAAATAAAATGCTCTGTTTAAGTGATAAATGTAGCGGAAACTGAAGAAAGAAACCATTTTGGAGAACTGGGTAGGCTTTACTAAATATTGAATAGAGAAAAGCATGATAAAAGTGTGAGGCCTTGGAACGACCCCAGTGTGTTTGTTAGATTGGAGGGTTGAGAGTGACAAGTAAGTGACTGGGATAATCAGTTTAAATCAAGTTGCAAATAGCTTTGTATGCCAAGGTAAGAAATTCAGACCTTATCCATTCAGCATGGGTTATGTCAGAGAAAACTTTGAGTAAGTTGTTTTTATGAGAGTCTGGGTTGGTTGGTCTATAGATAAAAAGTCTGGCAGTTAGGAAGGCCAAACCTAAAAGGCCTTTGGAACAATCCAGACTGGAAACTATGTCCAAATTATAGTGTAGTTCTGGTAAATAGGAGGGGTTGGGTAAAGACATCTAATGTATGTGACCAAGTCTCACAGGAAATAAAGGATTTAAGGGCGATCTCACCAGAGTTAACGGTCAATTTCATGTCTAGCTTGCATTTAAAGTATTTGATACTTGGGGGCGCCTGGGCAACTCGGTTGGTTATACATCCAATTCTTTGATTTCATCACAGGTCATTACCTCATAGTTTGTGGGATCAAGCCCCACATCAGGCTCTGCACGGACAACACAGAGCCTGCTTGGTATTCTCTTTCTGTCTCGCTCGCTCGCTCTCGCGCTCTCTCTCTGTCTTGCTCTCTGCCCCTCCCCCACTCACATTCTCTCTCTCAAAAAAAATAAACATTAAAAAAATAAAAATAATAAAGTATTTGATCTTTGGACTCTTTTCAGAGTGAATCTTGGCAGCTGTTTAGCCCTATTATTTTCCTACCTTCCCATTGTGGAAAACGATAATACCTTTCCTGCTATGTCACACTTCATTCCCACAATAACCAGAAGCAGGTAGGTGCTACAGGTTATTTTACAAATTAGAAATGGTTTAGATGTTATGTAATTTACCCAGATACACACAGCCAATAAGTGGCAGAGCTGGGATTTGCCCCAAACTGCAAGCTGCAAGTCCCTTAGGGATAAGATGCTTGTGAAGTTGGAAGCTTTTATTCCCCAACCCACAGCTCCATTGATTAGGTTTTCTTATGACTGCCCTGCTATTCCTGCCTCTCTGATTCTATTCTGCGTTGCTTTTCTGGCAAATCATAGTATGGAGTTAGTCTGCCTGATGGGTCCAGAGGGCTGCAAAATGTAATACAGCACGTCCTGCTTTAGGAGAATGAGTTTCTCCCTGAGAGAAGCAGGAAGTCAGTAGTACTAGTCGGCTTTGGACTTACACTGCAAAATGAATAGCTACATTGTGACCCCCACTTCAGTCTGAAAAATTAAAAGAATGCTTTAACATCTGTGCTAGAAAGGTAGCCCATTCATCCAGGGGGAGAGTTGAGTCCAGAAAGTGATTTCCTGCCCATACACACACACACACACACACACACACACACACACACACACACACACCACCTGGAGTTGACAGTGGCCCTGGGATGTGGCCCTGGGATGGAAAGCTGCCTATTTTAAACTTAGATTTGCTGTCTCCAGTGTCAAGACTTGCACGAGATTCCTCAGTGCATTACCTCTGCCCTTTCCCAGTTTAGCTTCTTGAAGACTCAGCTGTTCTCCTAGTTCCTGAGGCCAAGGAAACCCAAGTTATTTTCAGCTCTTAAACTGTCCAGAGTTGGAGGATTGGTTCAGGGGTGATCAGCCTTAGTTTGTAGTCCATATTGCTTGAGGATATTAAAGTCCCTGAAAAGGCTTAAGAATTCCGACTTTGTAACCACAGAATCCTGTATTCATAGTCTTCCGTGGAATTCCTAATACAACAAACGTGGACTTGCACCTATTGAGATAGAGCCACAGATCCAGCTTCTCCCTCCATGCACTGCCCACCCAGCAGTACACTAAGAATACAACCTGAAAAACGTTATTTTCTCTCTGGCCACCTGGTAACCTGCTGTGTTTATTGGGGTGGGTGATAATAAGAACAGACAAGTTAAAGATAAATTCTGGCTTAACTTTTAAATTTTACATTTCTGTAGTCATAGAAATAAGCAAATAGCAAGATGGTACTTAAACCCCACCTATTAGCAATTACATTAAATGTAAACACACTGAACTCTTTAAAAGACAAATTTTGTCAGAATGGATTAAAAAACAAGCCTCAGCTATACACTAGTTATAATCACAGAAATGATTATATAAATCACTTAGCTCACTGGACTTGCCCACTCAACAAGTATCAAATTCAGGTTCACTAGGTATTAGAGTTCAAAGTCCTTTATTACTCAGATTTATTTCTCTCATTCTAGCAGCTGTCTGGTGAACAGAGCCATAATTTTTTAAGGGGCGAATACTACTGAAGTATGTAAGATAGAAGATGGTTCTGTACCTTTACCCCCAAATCTCACTCTGCTGAGAGTGCTTTTTCTTAGGGACATTTTTCTATGCACTTAATTATTTTTCTAACCTACAACCTGAGATATTTCTGGCAAGAGATATCTGTGTGTACATTCATGCCCTTTAAGGTAAACCTTGACAGTCTCATCTTACAGAATCCATTCATGGTCCTAATTCTGTAAGTCAAATTTTTGTGAATTATGGTCCTATCCATTAGTGGGCTATTTCTGGCACCTGGTTATCCATAAGAAGAGGCTATGCCTGACCTGAATACAAAAATTCTTTGGGCTTTACATGTGCAATCAAGATCCTTATCACCAAGAACATTTGCACCCACAGATACAGGGAGGAGAGAAAGAGTGTTCCTGTAGGCCTAACCGGGATTGATTGCAGCCTCATGAACAGTAGAGACATATTCTAGCAGAGGTGTTAGAACAGACTTTGGTGGACTTGCATAGTTCACTAGCTGTGTGACCTTGAACAATTTAATTTGTACCTCCATTTTTTCATCTGTAAAATGGGCATTATAGTAGTACTTCAGTGATTAGGTGATTGTGAGGATAATGGATAACGGTCCTAGAATTGGGCTCCTTAACAATAAAATACTAATAATCATAAAATAAAAATAAAAAGAGGTTGGGCCCAAACTTGAGGCAAAAAAAAAAAAAAAATTTATCAGGAGAGCAACCTTGAAACTTGATTCGGTAGGTGTAAAGGGTTTCTCTGCGAAACAAGGTCACTAACAGGCTTCAGTGAACATATCCACAGAGCTAAATATGGTTATTTGACATCTCAACAATTCTAGCTTAGGCAAGAGAGAATTTCTTTCAAAGCATAATAGTGATCCATTTTCTGTTCTACATGAATAGGAAAAAAAAAGTGATTAAACACTCAAGCTGTACAGTTGAGCTGAGTTCAAATTCCAGCCCTGCCACTTAC